TTATTCAATAAAAGGTACATACTTAAATAGAAAGTAACTAAGTTGGGATCGCGAAAATTACATATTTGCCTAAAGTGACCAAGATGAAGTCTATAATTGGCCACAGAAAAGACTATAATGGGGAAGGGGCTCTGAGAGGCCAGCGGCAAATATCCAGCAAAAATTAACCCACGTACCTCCCCCGGGGCTGTTACATGTTTGTTACACCCGAGCTGACAATGCTGAGTCGTCGGCCAAATTAATCGCGAAATTAAAGAGGGTCGCAGCAGCGGTTTTTGCTCTGGGGTGTACTGTTGAAATCGAAATTACCTTTAAAAGACAATCTTTGATTTCCCTGACACCACAACATCTTTTCGACTTATGACGTAGTTTGTTTTCTCATAGTTTTCCAAGCAGCACCTATTACCATAGCGACGGTAACGCGTTGCCGCTGATTTTGAAAAAGGTCAAATTAAATCTGGAAATGGCTAATTGAAATTACGGACAATTCACATAGCTCGTAATTTGCATTAATGTAGTCGTTTTCGTTCTTAAATATATTACATCACAGCCACGTAGGAGGCTCAATGTCAATTGAAAATGCTTTGCTACCATGATAATTTCTTGAACAGATAAGAAAAGCGTTATAGTTTAACATTTCGTTGTAAAGCTTCGAGAAATATTTTGTTCATAGGTCGAAAAGTAAAGACGTTGTAATCAATTCTCTAGAAAATTTTGATTTTAACTGGTACACCCCAAGGTCAAAAAAACTGATGCGAGCCTCCTTAACGTCGCGGCGTGCCCATTAAAATTGATGTCTACGATTTAACAGACATTTACAAAGATGTTTACGAGAATACACCCTAGGTCATCATGTGCAAATTGCAGTTCGATATTTTCATTTTCTAAAGGAAAACGTTTTTGATACAACGAAAAGCAGCAAGACGCTAATACCATCTTTTTCATTTTTTCGTTTTTAAATTTCAGTTGTTTCGAACCTTTCAGCAACATCAAGTCATGATTAAAATAAAACCCTTTTTCCATAATAAAGAAACAAGTCATCTCCAGGTGACATGAAAGCAAAAACATTCATCTCAAACCATATCGACTCGAGTGGCGTCCTGTGAACAAATCAGCTCAGATCGGATCCGTCAGGATTTGGGTCACAGACGGGCGATCGAGGAACAATAAATTTCTTCTTGATGTTTTCGAAGATGA